TCGCTCCTCCCAGCAAACACCTGACCCAAGAAACTACAAATATCTAACAATCAATAATTACATTACTAAAATCCCACCTGTGTGTTTATTTACCCTGTTGCCTTTATATCTGACAATATGCACTTCAATTACTCATATGCTTACATGTAGAAATACTAATAATAGTAATATTTACTATTGAGGTGTGGTAGCAGCGCCTCGTTGTTACATTTCCTCCCCCCTTTCCCCAGAGTACAGTACCTCAATTCTCATGTACCCGGAGAAACAGTCTGCCATCAGGCTGGCTTTCCCTGCATGGTCGGTACTGGATTGTGAAGTCATAGGGCTGAAGTATCCAGTGACAATGGTCCACGTCATGGCCAGGCACTCCTTCTCCCAAGTCTGGCTGAAGATGACAATATCATCCAAGTAGGCCGCTGCAAACTGTGGCACCTCCTTCAAGACCTGGTCCATGAGCCATAGAAAAATTGCTGGCGCCCCCTGAAGACCAAACAGCATCACCTTGAACTAGAACTAGTAGAGTGTTTTAAATGCTGTCAGCTTCTTGGTCTCTGGTGTCAGGGACAGCTGTCACTTGCTAAGGTCCAGTATGATGATGAATGTGGCCTTCCTCTTTCCAACAACTCATCGATACGGGGCATCGGGTATGATTCAAACTTTGAGACTGCACTGAGGTACCTGGACCAGAGTTGTGAAGCGAGTTTTTTCTCGGAAAAGCTCTGGATCTACCAATGCTTTTATCTCCCCCTGCTGGATGGGTTGGAGATGGGACAGATCCACAACAGTGGGCTCAGATATGTTGGTGGAGAATGACTGCTCCTCCTCTTCCTCCTTGTTGAGGGCATGGATGAAAAGCTGCTGCTGGACAAGCTGCTAGATTGGAAGTGGAGGCACCTGAAACTTCTTCAACAGGTTAACAAGGAAGCACTGATGTTTCTTCAGTTTATCAGGCATGTACAGTTCATATGTTACTTTCCACAAGCGCTTGGTGATCTGGTAATGCCCCTGCCATTTGGCCAACAGCTTACAGTCACTGGTTGGGAGAGTCACTGGTTGGGAGAAGCAGCAACACCTGCTGGCCTGGATGAAAAGTCCTGTCCCTGCCCTTCCTGTCATACCAGGTCCTCTCATTGGCTTGTGCAGTCCTCATGTGCTCCTGTACCAGAGCAGTCATTTATTCAAGCCTCTCTCTCAGTTTAACCACGTAGGCCACAACACTGTCCTGATTTGCAATTGTATCCTCCCAGTGCTCCCTCAGGACGTCCAATGGCCCCCTCACCTGGTGACCATGGAGAAGCTTGAAGGGCAAGCATCCTATTGAAGTCTGTGGAACCTCATGGTATGCAAATAACAGGTATGGCAGCCATTGGTCCCAATCAGAGCCTGTGTGGGAAACAAACTTGCGCAGCATGGTTTGAAGAGTCTGATTGAATCTCTCCACCAGCCTGTCCATCTGGGGGTGGTAAGGGGTGGTCTTAATGCCCTTTACTCCTAACAACTTACACACCTCCTGCAGCAGTTTCTACAGGAAGTTTATCCCATAGTCTGTGAGAACCTCCTCAGGTGTGCCTACCCTGTTAAGGCCTGTCTGGCCTTAACAGATCTGAGGGGGAAGGCTTCTGGGTAACAGGTGGCATAATCACAAATTACCAGGATGTACCAATTTTCAGAAGAACTTCTCTCAAGGGGCCCCACTACATCCATGCCTATTCTGTCAAAAGGTATGTCAATTACAGGCAACAGCTGAAGATTGGCATGGGCTACTCCCTTAGGTGACATTAGCTGACTTATTTTGCATGAAGCACAAAAATCCTTCACTTGGGTGTATGTTCCTGTCCAAACAAACCTCCTGGCAATCCTGTTGAAGGTTTTTTGAAAAGGGCCTGCGCAGGGAATGACCTAGTTCCACAACCTTCTGTGTAAGGCTCTGTGCTAAGGCTTCATCCTTTCCCTGATGCTGGTAGAAACTGCCTTTCTTACCACATAGCTAGCCTCAGCTAAACAGTCTGCCTTGCCCTGTTTCTCACCCTCAGCCTCAGAAATTGTAAAACCAGAATTGTAGCATTGGATCAGCCGCCTGCATTGAATTCAGTTCAATTTAATAAAATTTTATATGTATAGCACCAAATCATAATATACATTATCTCAAGGCACTTTACAGGGTAAGGTCAAGACCTTACTCTATTATAGAGAGACCTGTTGGGTTTCAGAGGAGAAAGAGGGGGTGGGGGAGGAGAGAGAGATAGAGAGACCATGGAAAATGATAACAGTTATACCCATAGGTAATGGTGTTATCGTATCTACTGTTAATTGTTAATTGTTATAGTGGAAAAAATAATACTAATACCTATAGGCATACTACTGTTATCATTAATATTAACAATAATAATAATAATAATAACTAGAAAATTCCAGGGAAATTTTGAGTGCCACGGGGGCTACTGCCGGGATGAGTACATGATTTATTTCCAGTGTTCAAAAGTCACCCTGATCATATTCTGGTTTTGAGAAATGTCTTGATATAAAAGACTCTGATATAAAACAATGTCACATCCCTCCATCATGTATTATGTGGGAAATATCTCATATTCTGTGTTGTTTTTTTTAATAAAACAAGAGCCAACATGTCTTCAAACTGGCATTTAAAGGGTTAAAATCCTGAAAACGAATAAACATTTGGTAGGTTTGAGCAGAACTGAAGTGGTTTAAGAGATGTATGCAAAAAAAGCAGAAAAAAATATTGATATATGATGATTTTATAGCATTTTCTTTGTGTGTCCTTTTTTGGACGCGAGGAACCCCAGAGGGTACAAAATGTGTTACCAGTGTATAATAGACCTGTAACAGTAACTGACATTAGATTTTAAAAATATGTCAAAAAAGACACTTTCTTGCAGAAATCCATACCTTCAGCTGTAACACAGCCAAAATGATCAGCAAATCAAAAAAGAAAAGTGAAGAAAATGTCCAAAAAAGGACAGAGGGACCCCTGAGGGTTAATAAATCCCATGAACCGCTATTTAAATTACCACTATTATGTTTTTTTCGGTGCTAAATTTAACATTACTGGGGAGGAGAGCAACGCGACTAGAAGTGACAGCGAGAGAGGGCTAGTAGCTTCTCCTCTCCTCTGTCTCAGCGGAGACCGTCACAACTTCATTCACTCATTTAACAAAACAAAAAGAAAAGCAACAAAGGAAGCAGTAAATGGACTTACATATTTAAGACCTAACTAAATGTAATTTAAGACCTAACATGCGGCTAATGTAAAGCTAGCGGAGCTTGGAGAGTTGGTTATCTGGTTGCTAGGCACGCACACACGCACACAGGTCAGGAGCTGCCGTTGCAATGTGAAAATCTGCCCAGAATTTGGCTTCTACATGGCTTAAAACAATTGCAAATTATTAGAAAACCATTACTTCTTTTCAAAAACCGAAAACACTGTGACAGACACTGAAGCCAGAACTTTCTTACAGTCTCTATTTTATTCAGATATTCCTTAAAATGAGTGAGTAAGCTCAGTGCGAAGACAGACTGAGATTCTTTTGAAAAAAAAAGACGATTACATTAGGTGTCAATGAGAGTGAGACAGGTATTGCTGCCGGACTCGGCACCCCAGTTTAAATTTTGTGCAGACTCTGCCTGTCAAAGTTACATTTTATGAATCCCAACAACTATGTCTACATTTTCAGAAAGAATTATTTGTCTCCTTTTTATGGTTTGGCCGTGAGCTCGAGTTAAAAATAAAAATAAAGGTTATTTTTTACTGCTTCACGCACTCTAGCCAACTGACGCTGTCACTCTATTTTTGAAAAAAAAAATGATTTCCACTCCTCCTTTGAGTGCTCATAGTTTGAAAAGTTTACATGTTATGTAAAAACAGTTGTTGTGTTTTGGGGAGAGCAGAAGTTTTCCTCTGTTTTGTAGTTTGAATCACATTTCTACGTGCAGGTATGAGAGAGCTGGGTGACTCAGAAAAAAGGTGAAATTTTGTAGAAAAAAGGTCAAATTTTGTGGGTTTTTAAAGAAAATTCCAATACATTCCTAATGCATTATTTATTCCCAGTATTTTGGGAATAACTTTGGGAAAAATTGGAATTTTAACATCAAGACGCACGTTTTGATGTATATATTACCGGGGTTTTCTCAAAGCTGCGGGACAAGTTACGCGCCAAAATTTGGCGGAAGAATAATAATAAGTCCGAAGGAATATTAATAGATGCCTTGGGGTGGAGCCCCGAGGCACTCCTCTCAGCTATTCTAGCTGTAGAGGAGTGCCTCGGAGCTGAGCACCCGTGGCACTAATAAACCTGAGCAAAAACAAGAACCCTAAATATGAATTTGTATTTCTGCAGTTGCCAATACCACCTCAAGCCTTATCATCCAGGTGAGCTGTTACAAAGATGAACCACTAGGGATGGAAAGAATGCTTGTAGTGTGACACTTCAGCCCATCTGTCACACATACATTAACAAGTACATAGTAACACACACAACTAGTGTGTTAGTGTGTGTTAAACTAACAAGTAGTTGGCAAGCCCAGGGGTGAAACAAATCCAAACAGACACAACACACACAATGTCAAAGCCTGGACACATCACAGAGACAGACACACAGGGTAGTAAAACTTTGCTGCAGGACTTTAAAGTGAATTTGAAACTTTGATTCCATTTAACCACAAATCCCCATGGAGAAGTTCTGTGAAATCAGGCATGTTACTGTGAGCTCCCAGGTCTGCATATCCATCTTTGATGGTAAACTCGACCCACTGTTGAATGTTTTATTTTATTTATGATGGCTCATTCCCTAATGGAGAAACAGAATAATATTTCTGGCACAACTTCACCTTCTTCCATGGTGCATGGAGGCTCATTCATTAATGCAACGTAATGAAAGACTCAAATTCTATATTTTCATTGGTTGAGTCTACAGTCAGTAAAACTTTGGTGGGCGGGAGTAGTCAATTTTACCCAATCAGATTTCACCCACACTGCACTTACTGCCCCACCGATAGTGGCAAACATGGCGTTATGGGAGCTATCATCGCTGGAGAAATATTTAGGACTTAAAAAGCCGAACAAGTACAGTACTCAAGGGGATAAAAAGGTGATATGACATTTTTGTGGCGTCCACTGCTGGCTTTAAACGTCTGTTTTATTAGAAAGGAAGCTTGTAAGCTGTATAACGCTAGCAAGCATGGTAATGCTAACAAGCTAGTAATGCGTGTTGGAAATACAGGTAGTTCTATTGGTATATCTACCTCGTGTCATCAGTTGATACCCAGTGGTTTTATGCATTAGTTAAGATGATATTCAGAGTAAATCCAGGCAGCTACACGCGATGTTAGCTGATTTATTGCACACGTTAGCACAATGGAAATAGCTCCATGCTTTGCGCATGCCCGTTAACAGAAATAAAGTGAAAGGTGGAGTGAATAGAGGTAAAGTGAGGGATGAAGTGAGCTGTCTATTGCAGATGATCTGTGCGGAGGTGTACGGTTTGCTCCTAAGGTACTGATGACTGAAGGAGGGAGAAGAGTATAACTAAAAATGTATTGCTTCAAAATCTTCAAGGCTGCTGTACTGAAAGTTAACACAGCCATTATTCTCGCATCGCCATAATGAGCCCATTCATCTGGATGTTAACGAACATACACAATATAACTTAATCTATTTGATCAAGTGAAATGCTGCTAATCAATGTGCATGAGACTCTCCACTTATTCATGAATGTGCAAAGTTATCAGCATTCGCTGATCACTTGAACAAGTTAAATTCTTTTTTTTCTCTCTTCTTTTTCTTCTCTCTCCATCTCACTGCGTTCTCCATGTCCCTCCTCTCCATGCAGGTACCTGTGTTACAGAATAATAATGGTCCTCCCCTGGTGGGACTGGTGACACTCGCTTGTCACCTGGTGAAGGAGGCCAAGCGCCTGGAGCTGTTGGGTGACTCTGCAGAGAACAGGGCTGTGGTGCAGCAATGGCTGGAGTACAGAGTCACCAAGCTGAACAACTGCACAAAGGACAACATCAAGACCATCCTGAAGGTAGAGAAGCTGATATTAGATATAGAAATTTCTTCTAGTGCTTTGAAATTGCTGTTGTATTGCCTCTGTAGACTTAAAGTTATCTGTATGTATGATTGTATGAATGATTGCTTCACACTCCTTTTTCTCTGTCCATCAGCTAAACTGATGCATTTGTGTGCACTGGTCTTGTTAAGGCACAAAAGACAGGAATACAGTGTGATGTATTGCCCTTCAGTGACATGGCCCCACACGACAGAGAAAAATGTTTTAGTATGCCTGACGCCAGTCAGCATGAAATAGATCATCAGCCATTGGTCTGCTGGACACTAGGTGCCTCTTGGCACTGATCTGTCACCATGAAGTGTGTGTGTGTGTGTGTGTGTGTGGTATGGGTGAGGCATCATGCTGTGTGGCAGCATGTTATCTGGACAGGCTTCTTAAATATTTTAATGCTGCCACTTAGAGAAGGAAAGTCGCCCTGAGCAGCTCAGCCCTGGTGCCCGTTGGCCCCCTGTCCTGTCCTGCTGCTTTAGCTCCATCCGTAATGCTCTTCTTCTTCTGTCAAGCACACGAGTCATCTCCCATTAAATTATCCAGAGATAAAACTGTCAACTGCATTAATTCTTAAACTTTCTTACCCCAGGATGCAAATAAGAATTTCATAATTTTTCAAACTCAGACTTGTTTCAGAAGTTGTCTTGTCACTCATGTAATGTGACAAGCCAGGCCACTTTGGCCCTGAACCCAAAGTTAGCTGAGTGAATGGTAAAGTGTATTACTCCGCTTAAAGCCAGTTAGGCTAGTACTGCGTGAGGTCAGTTCCTTCTTTGTCTTTAGAGATCACAAATATCTTAACTCCCTGGATGTCACCACAGGTTTTTTTGATGACTGTCTACTTTTAACAGAAAAAAATGCATTTTCAAAATGACAAATAGAAAACTTCAATTCAATCAAGATTTCAGGGTTTCCACCCTAGGTTGTGAGGCCTGGTGGCTGGAGACATACAGTGCATTTGGAAAGGATTCAGACCCCTAAGCGTTTCACCCAACAGATGTCGCTGGTGAGGTTTTCAACCACTATATCTAGGTTTCCAACTGAGCACCCCAAAATCTCTTTCCCTGTGGCCACCAGTCAGTTGACTGAATTGCTGTAGCAGGTCCATTCCTCTCACATAATTAACAATTTTCCTGGACAATAACATTTTTCAGACTATAGTCTTTTTGAGCTCATCATCTGCGACAGATGTAATTCTTGGCTGTTTGACAGATTTTTTCAGTGCCTTATTTCTGCAGTAAAGATGTCACTGTGGTGATATTCACCTGTCAGTTTATTTCCTCAGCAAAACACATTACATGCAAAACTCCAAGATTACCCCAGGTTTACTTGCAGGTAACTTGCAGTTTTAAGGCTTAAACTTTAAACTTTAAACTAAGGCTAACACTTAAGCACTCGTGGTGGGCGTGGCATAAAGCCTGATCCAGATTTTTCAATGAGTAAGTAAGCATAAATGTGCTTACAGCCTAGTTTATGATTTTCTTTTTTTGGGTGTGAAAACCATCTTAAAAAAAATATTAACCATAGCCGAGGGATTTAACATAGTTTTTGCAAACATTTCTGGAGAGGAACTTTAATGCTATAAACAACCCATAATTCAACACTGTAAAAGACCGTAGATACTCTGATACTCTCTCTATTCGAAAGGAATATCTGTTGTAATGAATGAACACGTAATTTTCTAGTGCTGAAATATAAATCAACCTTCATTTTTTTAAACCTAATCTTCAGGGAAAAGAAGCTTTAGATCGTATCGCTATCGAGACATTTGACATAAATATCAAGGTATGAAATTTTGTCCATATTGTGCTGCCATCAGTAGTAGTAGGTAGTTATTATTCTGTGCTATTCTAGCCTGCACATGACCTACTCATAGGGCAAAAACTAAGAATTCTTGCACACATTCATTCATATTTTTTTGCTTTTCTGAAAGTGTAATTATTTTGTAGAACAATGGTGCTCTGTCTAAAACCTGCTACACTCTTTGCCAGCATTATTTTTAGGGATTGACTGATAAGGTTTTTTCAGGGCCAATACAGATTACTTGTTATCAAGGAGGCCAATAATCGATATTTGGAACCGATATGCCAACACAAAACTACTGCTACATGAGGACTTTCACCATGTCGTCCAGGTGTTTCTATTATTTTGTTCTATTGTTGTTGAATCAACAACTGTACAAACAATTTTAATTAAAACTGATAATTATAACCTTCCTTAAGGAGGATTTACTGCTGGGCTTTTGTATTGGACTACATCAGTTTTAGTTTAGCAACAGGTTCTCTCTCTTTCTCTCTCCCTCTCTCTCTCTTGCTCGATGTGTCTTGAATCAACAGATGAACTTGTTCATCAGAGTGTGGTCTTTTTGTAACTTCAGTGTGATTTTTTTATTTCAAATTCAGCGATGTTGCTGTCCTACCTTCAACACAGCTCAGCTCGCCAACCGGAACTGCTCTAGTCTCTGTCCGTCCGTGTATACAGTAGTCTTTAGGGTTAATAGGCTTTTACTTGTGATATCTATCTAATCAGATGGTGCTGTGGGTGGGACATTGTTTCAGACCAGTGCTGAGTATAGACAGGGAGAAGGGGCTTCATCAAAGCCAAAGTAGCACATTTTTGAATTAATTTATCTAAAGAAATAATAATACCGATAATATGAAAATGCTGAATATTGCATCCCCAATTATCCCCAATTATTTTATATGAATGTACCGATGGTTAACAGATGCCTGTTGGAGGAGTTTTGACAATTTCCCTCAGCGAATCAATAAAGTATATCTACAGTATAGGGATGGAACGGTTCATGAAAAAAACCTGTCCCGTTCAGTTTGCTTGTCTCGGTTTGGCGCATGTGTGTATTGTTCAGTTCAGGGCATGCGCAGCCTTGCGCCAGTAACCCAGTGAAGTTCTTTTTCATTTGGCACAGAGGCGGAGGGGTTGAGTGTCAAGTGCAGTAGCCACGTCAATTGTGGAAATGGCAAGCAGAAAAAACAAAGGAGCCCCAGAGTTAGAGGATGCGCCAGCAGCATCATTTCAGTCTGCTGTGTGGGAGCATTTTGGATTTAGTGCTACCTATGATGACTGTGGTATAATAGTTGTGGATAAAACTGTGACTGTGTGCAAGCACTGTGCAACACGTGTTGCTCATGCTAGCGGCAACACGTCCCCTCCTCCCCACAGTTTTTAAACAGCCTCTCAGTGAAAAGTCAGACAGGGCAAAAGCCATAATGAAAGCATTTGGGGGCTTCATAGCGAAAGATATGCAGCCTTATGCTGTGGTGAAGGATGCGGGATTTCAGCATATGATTAAAGTACTCGAGCCGCAGTATAATATCCCCTCCCGCTGACACTTTAGCAACACGGTAATTCCCGAACTTTATGAAGAGACACAACAAGGAAATGTCGAAGAGTTGTCTGACACAGCCTACGTAGCCCTTACTACTGATGGATGGACCTCCAGGGCCACTGAAAGTTTCCTAACTGTGACTGCCCATTACATTACTTCGGTGTGGGAGATGAAAAGCTCAGTTTTGTCAAACTGCCTCATTAAGGTTCTCACCCTGAATGGGTAGAACCCATTTGTTTTTGCTCAGGTTTATTATTAGGGTTCAAAAGTTTTCTAATTTTTACTTTATCAATACCAGGGTTTTTCCTGGCAGAAAATTAGGCGGGGGTGGTACTAACGGGTACAACGGGGGGGGGGGGGGGGGGGGGGGGGGGGCGGGGGGGGGGGGGGGGGGGGGGGAGGGGGGGGGGGGGGGGGGGGGGGGGGGGGGGGGGGGGCGGGGGGGTTCTCTGGCAAAAAAAAAAAAACATACATTGGGGAAACTTTTCACGAAGCTGGGTGTGGCTGGACATAAAAGAGCTACTATTCACTTGTTTGAAGAGCTGCAAAATCAGGTCGCCGCCTCCTTCCGCAGGCAGAAAATCCAGCGCGTTCATATTCTTCTTCTTTGGCAAATTCGGATGGCTCTGCCTGATGCACGGATTATGATACAGCTCCACTACATTGCTGTAGTGGCGTACAGCCGCAATTGCAGTTACAAACGTCAAATCCACAGAGTACCAAGAAAACAAGTAGGTCTACTAGAATTTTGTTGGGAGGCGGAGGCGGCATGAAATTTGACGGAGGCAGCTGCCTCGCAAATTCTTTATGCAGGAAAAACCCTGAATACCAAACTTTGTATATAACCTTGGGTGACTGAGAGGCACATTTCTATTACAAATTAGCTAGATTGGTCAAAAAATGTGGCCACCATCGACCGAAATGTCTTTGCCAAGGGCAGAGCTTAGCTAATATTGGCCACAAATTATTAACCATTTGTCCGATCATCTTAGAACTTGTTGGATATCTTCAGGTTGTTATGGAGTGTAGGTGTGCAGAAGCATTAAGTAGCTGAAATCCGGCTGCTTCTCTCAATGCAGCGCAAAACAGTCAGAACCCACAAATTGGGGCTTGCGGCTATAATTCTTTCAGTTTTTGCATGACTACATGACATGTCCTTGAGAATAACTGATTTTTTAAAACTGTAAATGGTTGATTATTGGGCTATATATCTTATGCTGATGTAGGGTATTTCTGGAGTGTTAAAAAAATTGCAAAAAAGAACCCAACAATGTGTACCGAACTGAACCAAAAACCGTGACCCCAAAACTGTGATACGAACCGAACCCTAGGTTTTGTGAACTATTCCACCCCTACTATAGTATCTTTATGTATAAGAGTGCACAGTTCAGGTGCAGGTATATAAGAAATCAGTTTTTGATCACCATGTGCTGGGTGGGTGTGACAGGAGAGCGCCCTCTCATCTGATGCTTGACTAGGCTTCAGTTCCATGGCTGTAGGCCAAGAAAAGTAAGGATCTGATTGTGGAAAGGGAGGAAGTCTGCAGTCTTCATGCATTGTTTGGCATCACCCACTCTTGCTGCACAATAACTCCCATTTGCCCCCAAGATTCTTTGTGCATGGAATGTTGCCCTCGCACAGTGTACAAGTGCTAAAGATGGTCCCTTCCCCTGGGACCAGCACGTCAGTACACAACTTTGAACACACATACATGGACTGAAAAATACACATCATGCTGTCCAAGTTTACGACAGCTTCATTAGATTTAGTCATTCGGTAGTGTAGTAAACAAATAGCCGTCTTTCTACGCATCTGTACTAAGTCGCCAGTAATGGGGAGAAATGATATATCCCTTTACGTTACATATTATTCCTATTCACATAGCACAACACACAGACACACACGCAAGCTAGGATCTAGGATAGTCCCCTAAAAGTCCATGAGTAGATGCAGATGAGAAAACCCCAAGTCAATTTGCATTTTGAGAGTCGACCCACTGCATTTTCTTTTTTTTTTTTTTCTTAGCTGCCTCACAATACATAGCAGTGAAGGAGCAGCAGTGTGGCAGGCTGTAAATCTTTCAAACCAAGTCACCGCACTCCACTACTCTCAGCTCCAGGTCTGGCTGACAGCCCTGTCAGCAGCCTGGTAGGAGAGACACTTTTCATTGTGGTACAGTCTTATGACAACCATGACTAGCGATGCACCAATTGTGAAATTGTGGGCCAGCACCGATGGAACTGATGTTTAAAATAACAATTTGGTCAATAGCCAATAGCAGATGCCATTACCAATGTTTGTTTGTTTGCTTTGTTCCAGGGAAGCAAAGAAATCTTCATGATTAAAAAATAACTGAACTGTTTTAAAGTCTTTCAGCCCTTCACTCTATCACAGTATCTTTGAATAATCACAAATTTGATCATACAAATTCATGAAATAACCTTTAATACAACTTAACTTTGCAGAAAATAACAATTTTAGAAGCATTTTTTGCCTCTTATGCAGCTACTTATAGGCTGAGATTTTTTTCAGTATACATAGCCCAAAAAACAATTTTGTGAAAAATAAAATAAACGCAATTAAATGTAAATGTAAACATGATTAGAAAAACAATAAATCTTAAAATAAAATATTAAATATGAATAATTAATACAGACAAACATTAATAGGGCTATCATTCACGTGTTTCTTATGCAGAATAAAATGTTACCACTAGAAAATTCCTGGAGAAATTTTGAATGTGCCTGCTGTTTGATGTGTGTACTTGACTCCTCACGTTTCAGTCTGTACAAAGAACGTTACTCTCAGTTTCATTCATGTCGTAGAGACTTATCCTGACACTGACCTGGCCAAAATGACCTCACAATAATGGTTTTTAACCAAAATTGAATCAGAATCACCTTTACCCATTTCTGCCCAGTAACACCTCCTCAAAAACCACCACACTGTATACAAGCACAGTCACACACACACACACACACACACACACACACACACACACACACACACACACACACAGTGCTGATTTGCCTTATACATGCTAAAAGCGGTAAGAGTTAATGAGTCCAATTAGCCAATAAGAATCAGCTTTGTCCATTTCTGCCCAGACACTGCGTTAGTAGCACCTGATTAGACCTGAGACCTGCTGTTTGCTATCAGCCTCTGAATTTGTATTGCAGTCTATGGGAGAGCTACTATGATGGTTAAACAGTTCCTGTAGCTCAAAGCTCAAAGTAAATTTAATATGTCTGCTGCTGTATTTACTGTTGTACTCTCCAGTCTGAAGTGTAATCTCTCTCTATGAGTATTAATTCATAAACAACTTTCTGCCTGTGTGTGTGTCTGTGTTGGTAAACATCACAGAGATCAAAGAGGCTCTTAATGAGCTGGTTCGAACACCTGTGTCTAGCTGGAAGACAGATCTGGGTGTGATTTTGGCTCGGCTAGCCTCTCAAACGACTATTTGTGAAAAAACGGTAACTCCTATCAGAACCATGAGTGGACAATGACTACCACAAGACCTTCATGCACTGCATATCTGGCTTTGGTGTTTCTAGAGCCAAAAATGTGGATCAGTGTGAGGTTATTTTGGCCAGTCATGACAGCTTCAAATGGCTTTTTGAGGGACACCTGCAGTGACTGAGGTCAGTGTCAGGATAAGTCTCTAAGACATGTTTGAAACTGAAAGTACAGTCCTTTGTACAGATTGAAATGTGAGAAGTGAAGTACATGCACCAAGCAGCATTGAATTTTCTAGTTTAATCTACTACTGCATATGGGCGCGTAGTTGTTGAAATGTGTATGCCAATAGCTTCAGTAATTTCTTTGGTCCGGTCTGCTTTTATATCTAGAGGCTTCTTGAAAACAGCGGGGATAAGTTGTTTGACTCCTGTTTTCTTTTGCCTAGCTCTGGTGATTGGCACATCTGGTTGACGCTGTCTAACATACATTAGCGTGTTCGACGTGTTTCCACTGACATATGCACAACTGTCGAACAAAGCCAACACACCGTCCTCGTCTGATTTACCACTCACACTCCATCGCGGTTGTGTTGTAGTCTAAGATTTTCCCACACAGCTGATTTAAAAGAAGCAGGCATGTCTTTTAGCTCCTGTGTGTCATCTGAACTTGCCATAGTTACTCTTCTTCTTCTTGTGTTTTGTTGCGTTTTCTTGTTCTTCTACTTTGGTTGTTTAATGGTGGTTGGCAAACAGCTTTTAGGCACATTACTGCCACCTGGACTGGAGTGTGGATGCTCCCATGTGTGACTGACTTTTTTTACATTTAGACGTATTCTTTGTATGACTGCATGCACTGAACTTGTCCGTACTATGGTTGTCACCAGAACCGATACTTCGGTACCAAGTCAATGCCACGTGGCAAAAAACTGGACGGTACCCGTTTTTTCATGGTATCGAAGGTACCGAAATTACCAACACTTGACGAGATAGTAGGTAGTCACCCTCTTAGGAAGTAACGTAAGAGACATCCCATTGAGGGAGGCAGTTGAATGAGTGCTCGTCACACCCGCTCATGCATCAGGTCTCATTGTGCTCAAGCAGGATGTCATTACCTGTATGAGCAACTTATGTCATGGTAGATTGTCTTACCTCAAAAGTGACAGCATGTCAGTGACAACATCTACCAAAAACATGTGTAAAAGAACATTAACACTAATTACTGCGTCACTGGCAACATATGAGTGACTCTGAACATATTTAAGCACAGTTTCCCTGGCACATGCTCGGCCTCTGCCCAAGGGAGGATGAGGAACATCCACTACTAGGCTGCAGTCTAACTGCAATAACAAATGGAAGATGGCGACAAGTTCAGGCACACAACTTGGTCCAGCTGCAGCACCTCGGCTCGTTGAAAGAAAAAGCCAGAAGAGTCGCATTTGGAAATATTTTGCTTTCGAGGCGGATGATGAAGGGTCAATTATAGACCCGCAAAAGCCTGTTTGTAAACGGTGTGCACTTTCCAAACCACAGTTGAAACGCTGTGCAATAAAACTGCTTATATTTTAGCAAAGTATTGTTTACTTTAAATACTTGAAGGCTACATGCCACTGTTCTTTTTTGCAGACAGGTGTGAGTAGGCAATAGGTGTGTGCTTAAAGTGTCCGACTATCTTTTGGCCTGTTGCCACTACATCAGAGATGCTGTGCTGGCTCAGAACACCATCATGGACAGCCAGCTGCAGAGTGTGTGGCATGCAGCCAAAACTTAAGTTAAAATCTTTGTCAATCCACTGTGCTGTGTGAGGCTAAGCATGCTCACCAGGCTATCATCCAATCTCCATTTGTACAACTGATTGCAGGGATGACACGAGCCAGTAGCTCATGAATGTGTGTGGCCACAAGGTTGTACATTTCAGTGAGACAGGGTTCCATATACTACGTCAGGTTTCCAAACCCTATATCCTCCACAACAGAGAAATGGTCATCTAATGCGATGAATTCATCACCTTGTTAGTGATCCCTTTAGCTTTAACACTGTCCATGGAGAATTGTTTCCCTTTCTCAAAGGCTGTGGTTATGGACCGAAGTCTTGCTGGTTGTGGTTTGTGCCTTCTTGGTTTCCAGTTCATTATCCTTACCTCAGGTTTATTAGCCCTAACCCTAACCCTGTTATCTCTACATCCGAGATGCTGCACTGGCTCAGAACGCCATCTTGGACAGCCAGCTGCAGACTGTGTGCCATGCAGCCAAAACTAGCCAGACCACTAAACATTAAAGGTTTTGCCATATTCCTGGCATTACCTTCTCTGACTGTTACATTCTTGTGTTTTCACAACCCAGATGAAAGACATTCAAATGTGAGTTTTCAGGAAAACGTTTGAGTCATCTACAAGAGTGTGGTGTGCATGACATGTGTAATGTAGGGGTGGGCTGCAGGGAGCAGCATTTATAAGTGCAAACAAAATGAATTATTATTTTCCATCCTTCTTTTCCAATGAGCTACTGTCATTGATGAAACCTAATTCGAAGTGTGAATCTATTGCCAAAAGGTGGAGATTCAAGGTAGTATTTTCCCTGGAAATCTTAAGTAAAAGTATAACGCATGCCCCCCACTGCTGAAAAAAATCCTAGAGGAAACACTGTATAGATAAGGTGAAATTATAAAAAGATATCAGTAACAATGTGGAGTGTGTATAAACAAGAAATATAAGAGAAAGCAAGAAACATCAAACCACAAGCACCTGACCAATCAATACATGACCAACTGTGCAAACCACAACCATGGACCATCTTCTGTATACCAAATACTTACCATAATGCATTGTAATGAGCTAACTTGCATAACTGATTATGTTTTGAAATTTCTCTTTCAGGATCTCAACCTCTACCTGCAAGACAAGGTCTACTTGGCAGAAAACCAATTCACCTTAGCTGATATTCTCCTATACTATGGAATCCAACCAATCATAGTAAGTTACCTTTTCACTCAATTATTTCACCCTTGTGTCACACAACTCAGGTATCCAAGTGCTTATTATCACTTAAAATGTAATGTGGCTAGTAGGGCTGGGTGATAAAACAATAACAATAATTATCGCAAAATTATTTTCCTTGATAGAAACATTAAAAATGTTCGATAAACATTGGATATAATTCATTTCCATGCTTATAGCATGCCCACCAATGACTCAGGAATGGCCAATCGTCGCAGGAATAGAGGTCTGCATTGCGCAAATTACGATGCACGGTGAGAGGTATAAATGCAGGCCAGCACGTGATATTATTTACAGATGCACGCAGTGGCTGGCGGACTTGAAGTTGGATCGGAGTAAGCAAATAAGGCAAAATGAGCTACACTGCAGAAAAAGTGGAACGCAGCTTGAAGGACAGAGATATCTTCGACAAGAGAGGCCACTCAACTTCAGTAGTTTGGAGATATTTTGGCTATTTACAGTCTGACTAAAAACAGAGCAATGTGCACTGCAAATTGTGCTGGAGACATGTTCCATCAAAGCCCTAAAATCTGCGATGTCACGGACTGACTGATGATATTTCCTCCACTGGTCAGCAGCGTGCCAAGCTGCAGTCTACCGAGCCGCTCTGGTTACCTGAATGCTTGGGAATTGCACTTCTAATACACTGAGCCTAGCCTCCATTACAGCAAATAAACTACTTCATTACATGTACCATTATGACTAAAGGAGGCAGAGGAATAATTAAACCGAACAGAGAGACACAGCAGGAGAGAGGGAGGGAGGGAGAGAGAGAAGTTTGCTGCGGGTCATCCTCTTTCTCTCTCCCCAATTTTCCCGTCTCTCTCACAACAGGAAAATAAAAAATAACTTAAAAAAAGAAAGATATCATGTCTCTTCTAACTTTCTCTCTGAGTGATCATTTTATAAGTAAATATAACCGAAATCACAGCTCAATCTTTGTCTTTCTCATGTTTGGTGATTTTGTTAGATGACGTTGCAGTTATGAAATCAGGATTTGACCGTAGGCGTTCCAGCCATATACTAGGTTTTGACCTAGTCTTGTTTAATCACACTTAAAGCTGATCTTTATAATAAACTCATGAATTTATAATATGGAACTTTTATGTGTTCCTGGTTAAGTGGGGCATCGCTTCTTCTGCAACGATGAAATAAAAAGGACCATCGCCTTGTGTGATGATCTGGCAGCAGGGATTTCTCTCCTGCCTGTGTGTGTGTGTGTGCATCTGCTCGTCTGTCTCACTCTCTGTTTCAACACTCCAGATTTATTTACCTATTAATTGAAAACAGATTTGCTGTTCCAGATCGCTCCGGCCCACTTTAGCCCCTGTGTATTAGTATTTTTTAATGCATTACAGATTCATTAACTGTCAATGGTCAGTTAACAAGCATCAGCTATTGGTCAGAAAGAAAATTGAAAATAAACATCCCTAAATGTGACACTAAAACATCTGAGTTTCAAGTGGTACAACTTAGTGAAAAAAAATCTAGAGATATACATTAAAAGGTGTGGATAAGTGAGATTTTAGGTTAAGGTGAAAAATAGGGACAAGTTTAGATGAGGGTCAGGGTTTCTGTTGCTGGACCTAAATGGAAACTGTTCTCAGTATCTACTCTTTCTGTCAATGTCACATGATGCTGGAGTATTCAGATAGTACTCACAAGGCATCATGGCGCATCGCGCATCACAAGGATACATGTAAATACCAATCACAGAAACTAGACTTTGGAGAAACATGTAGAAGATAATAAAACCCTGCAGAACTTTCCCAAAAGTCCCATGGGATTTTATATTCATAAATTTCATTGACTTATTGTTTCTCCATACTGTTCTTACCATCATTTAACAAGGAGTTACCTTGTTAAATGTAGCTTACTTCAGTCAAACCACAACTTTAATAAGAAATTTGTCACAGTGCAAAACGCACAATTAGACCAGTCACATGGCCAATTAGACAAGTCACATGGCCAAAGGGCATCAAGAACAAGTTTGCAGTAAACACTACTACTACTTTTATCGATACCACTTATTGATCCAGTACTTTAACAGTACTGTTATCAGTATTTTTTCGTAATTTTGTAAGAAAAAAACAAAACAAATGAAGAACAGGATGACAGATGAACTATAAGCTAGTCGGTGGAAAACTGTAAAATGTACATTTTTCCATCTGTGTGTTACAGACTTTCACTGGATGTTTCCAGAGATCGCTCGTGTTTCCGCTCTTACATGAAAAAGACTGAACCACACTTAAAAACGTTAAGCTCTCTCTGCCATTGACACTAAGAGCAGGGTCTGTGTCTGTGAGAACTTTTATAACTGAGGCATTCACACTATTGTTCTTCAAATCTTTATATTTTATTAGTCTTACTTCTTCCTCCTTTCCACGGTCTCTAACTACTCCTTCATACTTTTTCATACAGAAACCATTCAACTATCAAAATGTTCAGCTTGTTCTGTAGATTATCGGATATATTCAAATGATGCGCTGGCAACAAGTGGCAGCAAGTCCGCATTGCTCGTAGTTTTTTGCAATATATTTGTATATATATATAAGTATATTTTTTTGTCGATTGATGTTTTTTATTCTACTTTGTCGTTTCGTCTGAAAGTGGAGAAAATAATGTACAAAAAGGAAGAACTCCTGGCTTTAAAGTTTACCAGATATGGAGTTAAACATCCCGTACCGGCTGAGCTGAAGAAGCCGTTCCGTGGATGCAGAGCCAGGGTTAAGCTAAAGGCTAGGAGATGGAGATATAAGCCTTTTCTACCATCTATCCTCATGGGAAATGTCAACTCCCTGGCCAACAAGTGTGATGAACTGGAGGCACTTGTGAAGAACCATTGAACCATTGAACATATCGTGAGTGTAGTCTCATGTGTTTCACGGAGACCTGGTTAAACGACAACACTCCCGACCGTTGTGTGGATTTACCCTGCTTCACTGCAGTACGCTAGAACAAGTGGGAAGAATAAAGGTGGAGGACTGGTTCTGCTTGTGAACAAAAGGTGGTGCAACCCCAGTCACATCACAGTGAAGGAGAAGATCTGCTGTTGGGAAATTGAACTGTTGGCAGTTGGTCTTAGACCGTACTATGTACAGAGGGAGTTCTCACACATCATCATCACACATTGTTATTTGCATTCAACCACGAGCTGAGCCTGCAGCCACGTGTGACGTCATCCATGAGACTGTTGCGAGAGTAGTGACCCAGCACCCTGATGCATTCATTGCAATATCGGGGGATTTTAACCATGTCACTCTCATCTCTCACCCGTCTGGCTTCACTCAGTATGTTGACTGTCCCACAAGAGAAAATAAGACACTTGATCTGTTGTATGCAAATGTCAATGAGGCCTACACTGCTTCAGCTCTACCACCACTTGGCAGATCAGATAATAACAATATAATATAACATAATCTGTTTTTTCTTCAGCCTTCCTACAAGCCCTGTGTACTGAGGCATGCTGCAACTACCCGCTCATTCAGGAACTGTACCCCGGAGGCCAGTGAGTCTCTAAAAGACTTTTTTGAGTGCACAGATTGGTATGTCCTGTTGGAGTCACAGGAAAATGATAACAGCAAGGACCCTGACCTTGATAGAATGCTTGAATGTACCACGGACTATATTAACTTCTGTATGGACACTGTAATACCAGCAAGGACTGTACACTGCTTTCCAAACAACAAACCTTGGATCACCAGTAACATCAAGACCCTCCTCAACCAGAAAAAGGAGGCCTTCAGGGATGGAGACAGGCAGAAGCTCAGGTGTGTACAACATGAGCTGAAGAGGAGATTAAAGCAGGTAAAGGAGGACTACAAAAAGAAAATAGAGAGGAAGTTGCAGCACAACACTACCAGAGAGGTGTGGAAGGGGATGAGGACCATCACTGGCTATAAAGAGAAGCAGCCAGGCAACACCAGGTGATGTGGACAAGGCCAATGAGTTCAACCTGTTCTACAACAGGTTTGACACAGCCTCACCTGTTCTCTCTCCCACTGCTTCAGCTGCAGCTTTTCCTCCACAACCTGACACTGCAGCTGAGCGGAGCTCAAGAGGCTGCGTCCTGGAAAAGCAACAGGCCCGGATGGTGTGTGTCCGAGGCTCTTAAAGGACTGTGCAGCCCAGCTAGCTGAGTCTCTCCACAGAAAACATCATGTCTTGTTCCAGTACCTAAAGTATGACGACCGGCTGAGATAAATGACTACAGACCGGTGGCCCTCACATCCCACATTATGAACACCCTGGAGCAGCTGTTTCTCCACCTTCTGAGGCCACAGATTGAGCATGCACTTGACCCCTTACAGTTTGCCTACAAAGAACATATTGGAGTGGATGATGCCGTCCTTTAAATGCTCCATCAGGCCCATTCTTACTTAGATGTGCCAGGTGGTCACATGAGGATTATGTTCTTTGATTTCTCATGGAAATTTAACACCATCCACTCCCCCATTCTTAATGACAAGCTGGAAGGGATGGGGGTGGATCCCTGCTTCACGTCCTCGATTGAGGATTACCTGACAAGAGGACCACAGTATGTCAGGCTGGATAACTGTGTCTCAGGGAGGGATGAGCAGCACTGGGGGGACTGTTCTAGCTCGGTTCCTGTTCACCATTTATATGGTGGACTTTAAATACAACTCTGGGTCCTGCCATATCCAGAAATACTCAGATGACACAGCCATTGTAGTGCATATCAGGAACGGGCAGGAAAAGGAGTACAGGGATCTGACGATGGCCTTCAGTTAATGGAGCGACAAAAACTGCCTCCTTCTGAACACCTCCAAGACCAAGGAGATGGTCATGGACTTTCGGAGGTCTAGGCCCATCCTTCAGCCAGTCAACATTCGAGGGAAGGACATTGAGGTGGTGCACACATACATATCCAGAAATACTCAGATGACACAGCCATTGTAGTGCATATCAGGAACGGGCAGGAAAAGGAGTACAGGGATCTGACGATGGCCTTCAGTTAATGGAGCGACAAAAACTGCCTCCTTCTGAACACCTCCAAGACCAAGGAGATGGTCATGGACTTTCGGAGGTCTAGGCCCATCCTTCAGCCAGTCAACATTCGAGGGAAGGACATTGAGGTGGTGCACACATAAATACCTAGGTGTGCAACTGGACAGTAAACTGGACTGGTCCCTGAACACGGATCCCATGTACCGGAAGGGGCAAAGCCGGCTCTTTTTCCCAAGGAGGCTCAGGTCCTTTGATGTCTGCAGTGAAATGCTTCACATGTTTTATCAGTCAGTGGTGGCAAGCGTACTCTTTTATGCTGCAGTCTGATGGGGCAGCAGCATGTCAGACACGAACACAAAGAGACTGGATAAGCTGGTAAAAAAGGCTGGGTCCGTGCTTGGCAGGAGTCTGGACTCACTCAAGGACTGTTGTGGAGAGATGCATGCAATGTAAGATAGAGGCCATCTTGGACAATACCAACCATCCTCTCCACAACATTCTGGCAGGACAGAGAAGCAGCTACAGGTACAACAAACATCTCATCTCTACGCGCTGCAGAACAGTGAGGTTCAGGAGATGCTTTGTTCCCACTGCCATCAGGCTATACAACACCTCAGCCAAAGGAAGTTGACTAATCTAATTATTTTTGTTTATTTATTATTAACTTTTTATTTTATTATTATCATCAACAATGAGCTAATGGACACATGCATTTCCCCAAGGGGATAAATAAAGTATCTATCTATCTACAACTTTTTTCTACTATTTATAATTTTCAAGATATTAAGCATCCAAATGAATGGAGAGACTGTTCAAATCCTTGAAAGCTTCAGCCTCTTTGAACTTCAACTACTTCAGCATACTTTCAGCCACAGACTTCATTCAAACATTAAAATGTTCACAAGCCTTTCAGCTATTAGACTTGTATTCAACTCTTTGATATCTTGTACAGTTTTTGAATTATTACAGTTTTAGGTTCATGCTTTTTTTCAGATCATTTCTCAGTTTATAATGGGTGTGTATTGCACGGAATGTTCAGGGCTACAGTGACATCGCGTGGGAGAAGCTCTAAAATTTGTCTGAAAAAAATCTGTGCAACTCGTCCTCATGGCGACATATTTCGATCTTGACATTTCTACCTCATTAGTAGAGAAATTTGTCCTTGTTCATATAAACTGACTACCTTAGCACAGAGACTAACAGAATTTAAACTGTCAGCCTCAAACTGATGGGAGGTACCCTCTAACTGTCCCATAGACTGCAATGCAAATTCAGGAGCTGATTTCAGGGGAGAACCATAACTGACCCTTTTTTGTAACTCGCTCCTATTTCCACATTTTTGGCTCTAGAAACACCAAAACCACATAGAGGTGTTCAGGAGAGTCTTGTGGCAGTGAGCATGTGATAATTTTGCTGATATTATGTACTGTTTTGTACTAAATGGCAGGAGTTTGAGAGGTTCACTTACCCGTTTCTCCCATAGATTTGTTTGAGCTCTGTCTTCAACAGCCAGACTCTCTCTCTTAGACACACACACGTATGTAAAATGTTTGCTACAGTAAAAGAGAGAGAGTGGTACTTTTACTTTTGTGGTAAAAGTACCACAAAATTTTACTTCAGTATACAGTACTAGAGTAAATTAGCTTTGTTGCTTTCCATTACAATCTATATGGTCATAGGGATAAGTGAAAATGGGTGACATTTTCTGTAATCTCAAAAGTGTAAAATAGCCTACTACAAGGCCCAGAATCTTTTGTGCCCTGACAAATGCGATGTCCTTCCAGGGAGGTCCACTCCAGTGGCAACAATAGTGTATATAAAACATCTGCTACAGTAAAAGAGAGAGAGGGAGAGAGAGAGAGACTAGATAAACTCTGAAATAATGAAGCTCAATGAAACACACCACATGCTAATTACATAAAGACCTATTAAATATTTTAACGGGTGGTGATCTGTTAGGTGTGGGGAATAGATGACGGTCTTTGTTTCAGTAGTTGCAAGACCGCCTCCCATTCATACTATTGACTAAAGTTAGTTCATGTCAACGTACACACACACAAACAAACACACACAGATACAGTGTACAAGTTAGTACACATAGAGGGAGATGACAGTAACACTGGTGTTATACTCGACAGCCTCCTTTTACTTTCCTTCAGTTGTTAACTACTCCTGCATACTTTGTGCTACATAAATCGTTCAACTATCAAAACTTTCAGCTTCTTCAGGAGATCCTCTCCTTCAAGTTTTGTGATACTGTTCATCATTTTTGAAATCGTCATACTTCAACGTAGAAAAATGGTTGAAATGTTAAATGGGTCACAAGACTTGAGACTCTTTTGGGTTAAATTGATATTTTGACAACTATTATGGTTTACACGAAATCGCAGTTTACATTTTGTGTCATTTTTAGACAGTTTCAGACTTTATAATGGGTTTGTATTGCACGGAATGTTCAGAGCTAGAGTGGATGACATCATCACTAGAGTGGGAGAAGCTCTAGAACTCCTCTTCACGGCCACATATTTCAGTCTTCACACATCACGGCTTCCTCAATAGTAGACAAATTTTTCATGCTTCGTGCAATGCGTCTTACAGACTCACAGAATTTCTCAAACGATGGGAGTACCTGCCACCTCTCCCATCGACTACAATACAAATTCAGGAGCTTATTTCCCGAGAAATGCAGAAGTGACATTTTTTTGTAACTCCTTGTAGCTCCTTTGTCCACATTTGTCATGGTCTGCTCATGGTTCTGATAGGAGTTAGTGTTTTCACAAAAAGCAGTCATTTGAGAGGCTCACAGAGCCCAAATCACACCCAGATATGTGACGGCTCTGTCTTCCAGCTAGACATAGGTGTTCGAACCAGCTCCTTAAGAGACTCTTTGATCTCCATGATGTTTACAAACACAGCCATACACACACACACACACACACACACACACACACACACACACACACACACACACACACACACACAGACACACACAGGGAGAAAGCTGTTAAGAAGTTGGTGCTTATAGAGAGAGATTACAGTTTTTACAGCAGCAGACATTGTATTTACTTTGAGTTTTGAGCTACAGAAACTGTCCAACCATCACAGTAGCTCTCCCATAGACTGCAATACACACACACACACCATCACGCCCACCCTTCACCCCCACCACCCATTTTTATCACTGAAGGTAGGCTAAATAACAGAAACACCTCTGTATAATGTAATAGACACTACATCCTCCACAGTGATCAATTGAATCGACAACTGTCTAAAACTATTTTAATAATAAATTGCCAACTGAGTATATAAGTAATTATCAGGTGTATGCTCAGGCTCCAAAGTGCCTAACTACAATTAATTGGTTGCTGGGAACTGATGTACCTTGTAACCTAAAGATATTCTTTAATTTTATCGTTTTAAGATATATTATTATTCTCACCCTATAACATGTTTTACCCCTTTCTCCCCATTTTCAAATGTGACGCAGTAACACGTTTACTCAGAAACATTTCAACTGACTTACTTTGTTCTTTTATCTGAGAACATTTTTACACAGTGATTTAATTCTGCTGATGTCTTTTCACTAATACGATTGACGCCGTTCACATGTTGACATGCTGACGTCAGTGTGGTGTCCCATCTTCAATCAGTTTCTGTTACTGGTAGAGTTTATTGCTGCTCTGTCTGAACACAGTTAATGTTGCTGTTTTCTTCATCACAAGTGTGTAACTACCTGCTTTACATTCAAACTTACACTAGTTCTGCTCCAGGACTCAGGAGTTCCCTGCTCCTTTTAGCGACTTTAACTAACTCAGCAGTTGTTTACATGCTGTTCAGATCTGCTAGTTACTTTAACTTTGCGGTTAGCGCTAGCTTCTCTCTCTCTCCCTCTCTCTCACTCGCTCTGTGTGGTGTTCTTGTTGTAACTTGACTGTAGAGGATTGTGATATTTACTAAATCTTAAAAAGTTATTAAAGTATGGATTAGTTTGATCAATCTCATATCAAAAGTTGTGATTTCTCGATTACATTGATCTCTGATCTTCACTTCAAAGAAACACAGGGCAACGACTGGGTCAAGTTAATAATATTTATTTACTAACTAGGCACAGATGAAGTACAATGAACAATGATAATGAATATGAAACTATAACTAAGAATACCTATTTCTACCAGGTGAACTAGCAATAATTTTGGGCAACGAGGAAAGAGAATGAATTCGGCTATGTGTAGTGTACTTATTAACAGTAAGAAAAAAAAAAAGTCGGGAACTAAGATTATTCCGACATCAACCCAGTTCGAAGGATGGAGTTGCCTACTTTGAGTTGCGGCACGCTGTTGAGATCTTGGCTGTAGCCCAGGAGTTAAGGTTGCCAGGCGACTACCTTCCGTAGGCACTCTCGAGATCTGGTCAGGCGTGTAGCTAGGACCGGTATCAACACTAAATAATCAGCATTATTATTATTATAATAAACATGAAACTACTACTGTATAGGTTGAGTGCAACACCTGGCCTAAACTGGAGAGTCCAATACTACTTTGAAAACTATGATTCAGGTACAGCCCTAGTATTGTTTAGTTCCATAGGTTATTCAATCATAATGCCGTACATCTTTCATCAAGCCAACATTATGTACTGTAAACTCTTTAACTTTCAAATTTTTCCTCTCTTTCATCTCTCACCCAGGTGGACTTGGCCATCCAGGAGCAGGAGCAGTATGTGAATGTGACACGGTGGTTCGACCACATCCAGCACTACCCTGGCATCCGACGCCACCTCTCTCCAGTAGTTGTGCTCAGGAACAGAATTTACTCCAGCAGGCACCACTGAAATGACCAGACCCAACCCAAACTGACTAGTATTTCTGTTGCTGACTAGCAAAGTGTCTAATCGTTTAATTGACTAATCACACAAATCCCTAGTTTCCACAGAGTAATTTCTATCCCTGATCTTCCTTTTTCACTGTTTTTTTTTTTTTTTTTTTTTTTTCTGCTAAATAAGATTCCTGCCTTTCTGGTTATATGGTACCTGAACTCTGTTTGTTCTTTATATTCTTCTAAAACATATATTTAATGAAGGAGATCAGCAAAGAACAAAACAATAAAACAAAGTTAACTTTGAAGTGTTTAAGGTACAAAAACTCTTTTAAGGTAACTTGCTTATAAAAATATAGTTCAGTTCATATTTCTTTAATAATTTAACTCTTAAAGAGTTGGGAGTGGAAGCAAGAATTTGTCATCTTAACCTCTCACTTATTCAATTATGCTTATGCTTTGGAGTCTTGACCCTTATTCAGAATTGAGTGTGATGTTTGACTGTGATATTTTTGGATTTATTTTTTGTGTTTTGTGTATTTTATGTCTGTCACATCCACTCCCAGCCATTTCACTGGACAGTTTAGTTTCTCAGTGTGTGTTCTTGATTACATCCCGCTCTCTGCCCCACTTCCTTGGCAGTCTTTGTGGGCAGCAGTGAGCGTGAGTGTCAGCCGCATAGTCAGAGATCAGAGTGGTGCTCCAATCAGACCCACTACCACCACTGTTGATGCTGCAGGCCAGAGAGAGGGCAGCGGGCTCACCAGCTGCCACACAGATCCAGCCAGCCAAGGCCAGAACCCATGCCCCTGGGTGACAGTCAGCCACTGTGTGTCTTTTCAAACCTTACAATCCCACGGGCCTACTGGAGATAGAAAGAGGAAGGAAGGGAGGGAGGGTGGCCACAGAGAGAAAAAGAGCACCCAAAGGCCGAGGGATCTTTTTGTGACGTGAACAATAATCTGTTCCTCAGAAAGCCTTACTGTTGCTGGCTGGATGTTTGCTATTAGCATCATTAACGGGCCAAGTCATGGCAGTGGCAGGGGAACCTTTAAATTAACACTATGAGGGTAGTGTTATACAAAGAACAGTAAGAAAATGAGTCATAATTAGCGGAATAACTCTTATCAAATTCAGTGCACTTTTCAATTTCTATTGCTTTTGCAGGTATATCAAACCATTAAAAGAACTGACTAAAATATTTCAGCATAAAAACTGACAGCTGTAGTCTATGGATAATTCTTCAATTCTTTACTCTGCTAACAGGCTCTGCATATGTTTGTGTGTGTTGCTTACAGATGCAAAGGTTTCAGATTTTTCCAGTTGTATGATATTCATCCTATGCCAATAAATCAAAGGGATACACAGCTCATGACCCCTGACTTTTCTGCAGTTTTTTCTGTGTTCTCCATGAATTTGTTTTGTGTAAACCAGCCAGAAGACAACTATTGTGAATTTCCATAAGACGTTTTGCTGTGTGTTTGTGGCAAGTGTCATGAAGATGTGACAAACAAAACAGCTTGCAGTCATTTGAGAGCGTCTTGTGACTAGTTGGGGCAGTTTATGGTTTGGTCAGTTTATGGTTTGGTCTACCAAATGCTTTTTTAATTTATCACGTTTTTATTACATTGTCTTTATTTGATGTCCAATTAATTGAATCAACTTCTGATTCATCATTTCAAAACTAAGGTCATCAGCATCTATTGTGTTATTTAGAGGATGTAAACCTGAGGGTTAAGTTAAACTTAAACCGTTTAATGTATTTCAACAACATATTCGAAGTGTTTAAAAATCATAACTCTTAAATTTACAGTGATGATTAATCAGTCATTTTGAAAGGCTTCTTGTGTGTCTAAGTGCTCACTGTTGGCAGGATCTCAAAATGCTGGAGTGGTATGGTGTCACAGTCAGGTTCCGCAATGATGAGGTCACAGCAGGTAGCCACTGCAGAGGTACTAATTAGAGAAGACCTTCCCACCAACTTTTGAAAACGAAAAGAACAACCCTCTGCAGGAGTGATGGCCCTGCCATGGCCCCGGATCGACGGACTCGACCCACCCTCTTTACTAACTGCTCTCACCTCACGGCAGCCAAATAAAGGTGCAGTTTAGCCTGGCGCCTGTGAGGGAAAGGTGAAGGGACACTAAGGTTGGGTTATTATCAAGATTTAATGATGACTTCAGCTTTCACCACGGAGCTGTAGCAAAGAGTGGTGTGCTCTCTCTGTCTCTCTTGATCAAAACATTAAAAAGCAGAAGGCAAAAAAGATGTGACAACTTGTTTAAGAAAACTGCAAAAGTTGATATTTCATGTGTCCATATGCAAGTTTTACTATCAAGACTTAAAAAGACCCACTAAATCTGATGAACCAGGGGGTCCTTGGGGTCTTAAGGCCCCCCATACACTGTGTGATAATGGCCTGTCCTACCAAAAGTTGACAGATCAGAAGATAAACCATCTTGGATAAATCTTGGGACATCAATGTGATACTGGATGGTACTGTGAAACAGGTCCAAAGAGAAAAGGAAAATGGAGTCCATTTCTGAAAATCTTGAGTTGAGATGTACTCACTGGGATCATAACATGATTAGTCACCAAAAAAGGGGGAGTCAGTGTCCTATACCTTTCTAGCAGGTGCCACAGTTTTCACTTAATGATAACAGAAAAGAATGAAGCGTTTTACCCATATCACCTCATCACCCAACACCTTGGACACCTCAAGTTTACTAACTATATTAGATGGACAACCCCCATTCGACCAACACCACAACCCTTCATCAATTGTTAACATCACTGAGAGGAAAGCACATCTTCCGCGACATCTGCTAAGACAGGTCTCACAGACTGATTCAGTGGAATAATCAACACTGTGGTGGTGAGGGGGAGCGTTAGCATGTCGTAAGCTCTTATGACAGAACTTATCAACCATGCTTTATCGTGCTCTTACACATTGTGACAGTTGTACCATGCGACTATAAAAATGGCATCTGATTGTTGCAGTTACATGAGTGAATGAGCAAGTATGAACAACAAGGAGGCATCATTTTTCACATGTTCTTGCAGAAAAGTTACTACTATAGACATGAAGGACAGACGTGTATTAACCTCTCAAAGAGTGGGGATGTTCTTTATGTGCTCATATTTTGTGCTCACATACAGTACATACATACATACACACTGTTGAAAAGAAAAGATGATTCATTAGTATTTACTACCTCTAGTATACCTTCAATAAATTATGAGCATTTATACACTGATCTGGTCCATCTGCTTTTCCTTTTATTTTCTTTCTTTTTTTGGTGTAATTATCAAAATCATAAGTCCAATATATGGGGTGGAGTTAGTGTCAAAATAGCCACTCAGCATTAAATTGAGTGATTTTTCTGGATGACAGGACTTCCTGTTATTCTTCTGTGGGTGTGGTTTGTTACAAGTTGAGTCTTGCAAGTTGATTGGAATTGCACTGAAAACCTCTCAAAAGAAATATGTGAGCACAAGAAACACGGACAATCAGACAGTTATACAGGTTGTAACCAAAACCCCAGGTTAGCCAAACAACTACAAAGTCACACAGTAAAATTATTACCCAGACTGTGAGAGGTGTTGTTTTGTTTAGCTTAATTCATTCTTTTGCATTAATGGGTTACACTGTACCTACAGTGTCTATGTGTGTAGGCTGTGTGCATACAACACAGGCAACAATGTGTGCCTCCTAAAAAATGTAACATGGCTGAGGAGGCTACAGAAATATCACACTGAGACCTGAGAGGTTAAGAACTGAGATTGGTCAGCTTGTGCTGCTTGTGTTTTCTAGTTTTGCCAGAGCACATTGTAGAGAATGAATTCAGCATGAAGCAAGTTTAAAAAGGCATAGGTTATCTTTTCTTTTTTAATAACACGCAGCTAACAAAGCCAAGCTAATCACTCCTCTCTATCTAATATGGTCTCCTAGATATTATGTTTCTATACAACTAAACTGCGATGGCAAATATGTTTTGGACAAATAATCAAGGTATTTCTCGAATAAATGAATGAAGTGCTGCATTTATTAACAGCCGTGGAGTAACTCAGAGGTGGTTGGGTGGCAGGTGCATAGAGTGAACATTTGTTACATCAGAGACCAGAGTTCACATTCAGAGTCCCATCTGTGGAAAAGCACTTTAGTTTAGGAAAATAACATGTTTTTTGCTGAATGTAAATAAACATGTTGGCTCTGAAGTCACTGTGAACTTGTTCACTTGACCACAATCTTTCCTTAACCATAGCTAAAGTGTAATAATTAGAGCATCACTACAAGTGGATACTGCAGGACAAGATCAGATATTTTGAAACAAACCTGTATATTGTATGTTGTCTGTGATTATTTTACTTACAGTATATGTAAGCAGGGGTATAGGTCAATAAAGGAATCTTCTTCTGATTAGCCAGGCATACTGGACAATTTGGATGTACATCTCTCAGTAAATGACAAGTATTCAGTCAAGCCATTGTATGGTCAGTACTTTATATTGAGGATATTTGGAAATGGTTTACCTGGCTCATGGGTCATGTAGGACCCTTAGCATAATTTTTCAAACTTAACGTTAATGTTAGCCCCTGATCTCCTGATGGCTCCAGTTTATTTATGCTAACACCAGAACTTCACAAGTTGATTTTATTCTCTCTTGCACAGCCTCAACCTAGATTGCATAAGGATCCCAGGTGTCTAGCGAGAAAAGAGTTTTACGAGATGCAACCACTCGGCTCATCAATCAGAGAGATGGGTGGCTGATTTGGCACGTAAATGCTAAAGTACATATGTGTGACCCGGGGCAAGGAGATTGCACAAGATTGCACCTTAAGTCTCACACACACACGATTGTTGCATTAGCTGCCTCGATTGCTCCTCACCCATTCTGCTGATCTACCTCAGCTGCAGCCTCTACTTTCGTGTGTGTGTGTGTGTGTGTGTGTGTGTGTGTGTGTGTGTGTGTGTGTGTGTGTGTGTGCGTGTGTGTATGTGTGGTTATGCATCCATGGTTTTGGCCTGGGGGTAAGAGGTGAATTTAGGGTGAAGAAGGCAAAAACAAAAAAACGAAGGAAAGGCCTATAGCAGTAGCCTATAGCAGTAGTTAATAAATGTGAAAAATATATATTTTTTATTTTAATAAAGTTTTAACCATTTTACAGATTTTAAAATTACAAGTCCATGTCATAGTTCACTTGGACTTCTCATTTGCAATGCCATCACATTGTCACAGTCCTCATCCCTTTATTTAAATGTTCCACAAATAACCTCACCCCCCAGTCCATCGAACCTCCAGCCCCATTCATTCAGCCTTCCCCTCTGCTGTAATAGGTTCTGATAGGAGGCCTCCAGCAAAGTTCACTTCTCACTGCTGAAACCTGGTGACAAGGGGATGTACACAGAAAAAAAAAATAGACAATATTTGTAAGGAGGGAGAGGGTGAGTATAATATACAGACTCCTTGATGGACAGGGAACAGAGAGCAGTGCCCATAGCCATTTCTTGTAATTTGATCATGGGAAAAAAACAGGAACAGTCTTCTAATTTATGTATTTCACCAGCTCATTTGCATTCATCACAGGACTGAATTTTTTATTTCCAATCTTTTGTTACTATAACAGGTTGGTTTTAATTTGAGATGACTAATTTATTTAAACCTGGAGTTAAATGCAGAACACTTTCCCTTATGATTTAAAAAACCAGGGGGTTGATGACAATTTCATTGAACACAAACAAGGTTTCATATTACAATGCGGATGTGGTGCCTGGTGGTTACGACTGACACAGAGGAATGCTGTGCAGAAGAAATTACCTGATCCAAACTTTTTTATCATGAAAACATAATATTTTTTTCCAAAGAGAGAGTTCGTCTTCAGTCGATTGAAGAAAGTACAAATAATTTAAATGTAAACTTTCCCTCAAGAATCAGCGGCTTCCTCTGGCCAGGGATTAATCCAAATATGTAGATAAAAAAGTATTTCTCTTAAAAATGTTGTGAGCTCCTCTGTTTCTATTTAAAGGAGCCATAATAAACTAATCATTACTACTTGTGCAATTTATTTTCTGACTGCACCTCCACCTACCATATCTCCTACAGATTACATTTATATATAAGTGTTTTAGATTGGTAAAACACAATTAGGGGCATCAACGTGAATTTGCTTTGATTAAGTTTTTCTTTTAAGTTGTTCACTGCCAACAGCTTTTAGCAGTTTGTTCCTTCTACAGTAAACTGGATTGAAGTCAAAGCTTTACATCAATCAGCCCTGTCTTTCAAATTCTTACTTTCTTTATATGACAATCTTTGGGAAAAAAAGGTATAATTAAGTAATTAAAAAAATAATAATTCAAATTTT